CCAAGATAAGTCACCTGCTTCCTGCAGATCTGAGCCTTCTTTGCTGACACCTGATAACCTAATGTCCCCATAACTGTCAGAAGGTCTCTGGTTCTGTTCAGGCATTCTTCTGTTGACCTGGTGGCTATTAATATGTCATCTACATATTGTAAAAGGGAAACATGAGGTTGTAGAGATCAATACTTACTCAAATCCTCATGGATAGCTTCATCAAATATGGTAGGAGAGTTCTTGAATCCTTGTGGCAGCCTCATCCAGGTCAGCTGTTCACTTACTCCAATATCTGGATTGTGCCATTAAAAGGCAAAATATCTCTGCATGCTCAGGGCAAGTGGGAGATTAAAGAAAGCATCTTTTAAGTCAAGTAGTGTATACCATCCCTTTTCCAGTGGGAGCATACTCAGCAAGATATAATGGTTGGGTAAAGTGGAGTGGATATGCATTACCCTTTTGCTGACTTCTCTGAAATCCTGAACAGGTTGATAATCATTGGTGTGTGGTCTCTTTACTGGCAGGAGAGATATGTTCCACATAGACTGAACCTGCAGCAAGATGCCCTCCCATAGAAGCCTTCTTATTTGGGGAGTAATTCCCTTTCTGGCTTCCAGAGTCATGGAATACTAGTGAACTTTCACAGGATCTGCATTAGCCTTCAATTTCACATATATTTGAGGCTGGTGTCTGGCCAGCCCCATTCCTCCTTTCTCTATCCAGACTGTTGGAAATTTTCAAAGCCAGGTGTCCATATCTGGGTTGAGAGTAGATTTCTGTTTGTGAAGGCAGTACTCCTTCTCCAAAGGCATTTTTAAGAACATTCCAATGGCCTTTCCATCTGGGTGTCTGATGTGAGTGCCTGCATCAGTAAAATGGATATGTGCTCTCATTTTAGTGAGCAAGTCACACCCCAGCAAGGGATATGGACACTCAGGAATGACTAAGAATGACTGGCTTACCCATCCTACTCCCAAGTCCACTGTTTTCCAGGTAGTCCATTTATAGGGTTTGGTGCCCACTGCACCTTGCACCCAGGTCTGTTTTCTAGACAAGGGGTCCTCAGGAGTCAACAGTACTGAAATTTCCACCCCTGTGTCCATCATGATTTGGATAGGTTTCCCCTCCACTCTTAGGGTTACCCTAGGCTCGGGGAGGGGAGCCCAGACCTGTCTCCCCTAGTCACTGTCTTCTTCCAAGGCAGCAAGGATGGGGGTTGGTTTCCTTCCCAATTCTGTCGATGCTTTTCTTTCATTTCTTATTTTGGGTCAGTCTTTGGCCTAATGTCCTTCTCCCTTGCAGTACCTGCATTGATTCTTTCCTAACTTGGGCCTTTCCCTTGTCCTCCTACCACAGAGGCAAGGAGAACTTTTTCCATGTGAACTTCTTGTCTGTCCAATATTTTGGTTAGTTTCCTTGCTTGCCTCCTGTCTCTCTTTTCCTCCCTTTCTTGGTGTTTTCTTTCCCTCCTCTCTTCTTTCTCGTCCTCTGTTTCTCTCTTATTGTAAACCATTTCTGTTACTGCTACTAAATCTCTTATGCTTTTTTTTCTCCTAGTCTTTCTAATGACTGAATTTTCTCTTAATATCTGGTGCTGCTTGATTGGCATAGGCTAAGATAACAGCCTGCTGTGATTCCTCAGACTCAGGGTTGTAGGGGGAATATTGTTTAAAAAACTCCATCAATCTTTCCAGGTACGCATCCTTTCCCTGCTTTACATTATAAATTTTTGTCATATTAGTGGGCTTGCGTGCCACTGCTTTGAGACCCCCCAATAGAGCCTGGTGGTAGATACATAGAATCTTCCTACCTTCTGCCATGTGGAAATCCCAGTTAGGTGGGTTGCTGGAAAAGCCACCGTGGTTAGTGCAGAGTCCACTAGGGGGGAGCCAGTAGGTCCTGGAACCTGCTACTGGGCATTCTCTAGGATCCTGTTTCTTTCTTCAGTCATGAAGAGAACTCCCAACATCTGCTGGCAATCATCCCATGTTGGGGCATGGGTAAAAAGAACAGTTTCCAACAGGTTAATCAAGTCCTATGGGTCTTTGGAGAATGATGCATTCTAAGCCTTCCAATTATATAATTCACTGGTAGCAAAAGGCCAATAATGGAAGGGTTGGTTTTCTGAATCACCAGGAGGGCCAGCGGGTCTGAGGGTAAGGGTCATCATGGAGTCTGGGTGTGGGGTCCCTGCCCTCCTGCTATGGGTAGATAGTGCCAGTGGCCTTGCTCTCACTGCCCCTGTCTGCTGGGGGGCTGAAGCCTTTTCCACAGGAGTCATGAGATGCTCAGCTGAAGGAAAATAAGGTGGTGGGAAAATCTCTGTCTCCTATGTTCCTTCCTGGAATACAGTGGGTAGCTTTGTTCTATTCTCCTTTGTACCTGCCAGAGGAGCCCTAGTCTTAGCAGTCAAGACTTGGGTCCACTGTGGGACTAAGAATGGTATAATCCAAGGGAGGGGGCCTCCTATTCTATCTATTAACCCTGGCCGGGTGACAATATAAGGGACTTGGTCAGGGTAACCACCACGGGGGTGGAGAATTATCTTCTCCACTCAGTGGATGGTTGCTGCATCGAAGGTCCTGCTGGCTGGTCATCTGACAATAAATGTGGGCCATTCATGTGTACAAAGGGTGACCCACTTCTTCTTCTTGACAGTTGCTCTGTGGTTGCTTATGGTGTCCTGTATATCTTTCCAATGTGTAAGAGTTAAGCCTAGGGGTGTTAACTGGGCATTCCCCATTTCTGAAGAGGAGGGTTTAAGGAAAAAGCTAAGAAAGATAAAAAACCAGCAATTAACAAAACAAGACACAAATTTCAACACATTCCCAGGATTGAGCACGAGGTGGCAAGTCCTCTTTCTCCCTGTGTGGATAGATGTATCCAAAACAATCCTAACAGGCCGCTGAATGTCCTGGAGGGGTTCCTCTTGATCACTTCTTGGTGCCTGAAACCAATTGGCTGCCTCTGAGGTGGCTGCAAATGACTCAGGGCTAGGAGAATGCCAGCCCCTGTCTGCTAACCTTGGAGCAAACTCCCCATCTGAAAATGACCTAGGACTGGGAGAATCCCCATCCCTGTCTACAATTGACCATGAACTAAAGTATAGAAAAGAGGCATCTCTCTTTCCAACCAGGTTCACTGTATCAGTAACAAACTGCCAATTTCAAAATCCCAAATTGGTCAACCGGTACAAAACAAAAGTACCAAAGCAGCCACAGTCAGACAGACAAGACAACTAATAGACAAGAAAAGAGCACTCTATTAATAGGGGCAGATGTTAATGAGCTGAACCTCTGGGCTTATGTCCTGGTGGAGTCCCTGTGGGGTGCTTCCAGACCAACACTACAAATGTTATGCCTATAGCATGTCCTCCTTCCAAGAGGGAGACCATCAGAAAGCAGAGAGGACAGGACTGCAAATGGCAAAGTTAACTCTTTTATTGTAAGTACAGGCAAGTACAGGCAATTACTGGCTGGCCAGGAACTTCTTCACTACTCCAAAACAACAAGGTAGAGAGAGAGAGAAGTTAAAAATTCTTTGTGGGGTTAGTTTTTAAAAGGTGAAACAACAAAATGGCTTTCTGAAGTGGCTTTTTCGCGTGGGTGCAAGTTCTTTTGCTCCCTCCCATCCTAAGTCAGCTCTCTCTTTGTTTTCTTTATCACCAGGTGGCTAGCTGGGCTAAGTGTCCTTTTGCTCTAAATCCCCCAGGTGGGAGGGGTAGAAGGAAAGTGCTGCTAGTTTTTGTTTCTAATTTTAAAACATTCTGCTAGGAAATTCTCATCCCTTTAAGAATAAGGGGTAAGAGTCTCTCAAAATCTAGAGATAATAAATTCTGTGTGGTGCTAGGCATGCACTTACAGAATTTTGGAAAGATCATATATAGGTGTACAAAAATACTGAGATACCCTAAGGTTCAGTCAGCTTCACTAGGCAACACCCTCTCCAATCTTTCCCCTACAGGTAATGATCTTGGGTTAAACACCTGTGGGGGAAAAGAAATAAAGCTCAACTGGACTGGGAACATATAGCTTGGTACAGGCACAACACAGAACAGTGCTAATCAACTTTGAGACCTCCAAGTGGAGGGTTTTTGGAGTTTGGTATGCACGCATTATACTAACCATTCAGTGGATTGAAGCTAGCCTTGTGAAAATAACAAGATTTGGGCAATTACATCAACTAAAATATGGCAAATACTGGAGGATATGGATTTTAGATATCAAACAAAAGTTATAGCTTTATCATTAGTACTTTTGGTAGTGACAGACCATTCAAAAATAAAATTAATGAAAAAAACAATCAAACAACCTTGACATAATAAAAAATTACCAAGCCTAAAAGTTTGCTGGAAGAAAGATGAAAATGTAATCTGTTCTTGGGTTGAAAATTTTAAGGAAGTTTTCTAAAATATGTGTGTAGAATATTTAAAAATACCATAGTATTTTCAAGTACCTCAATAATAGGACCATAATCTGATAAAACAATGCCATTAATGCAATCTGATGGTCTTTAGCATTTGCGTGACTCTGGAGTACTACTAGTGTGCTGTATTTGATGTGCATGTATCGTAAGAGCACAGTGCACTGATCACAATTTGCATTCTCTTCTATGTTCTAAGACATAACATGTATGAACAAAGCACTTTCCCATTATGAAAGTAAATTAGAAGTAATGAAAGAAGTAAAAAGAGTAAATTTGATTGTGCTTTTGTGAAGCAAAGGAAACCTGTGTTATGTATGGACTATCTTAATACAATAGGTGTAAAATTATCAGGATCTAGTCCTGAATGAAAATTTTAACTAAGTTGCTATATGTTGCAAGAATTTAAGTGTAAGCACATCATTTTCACTACAATGTTATGTAGTATCTAAGCAGTGATGTTCTGAAAGCAAAGATGTAAGAATTTAGCCAGTCATTCAAAAGCTACTGCAGTTTTAAAATAAAAGCTATCAGCAGTCTCAGATAATCAGGTTGGGACAATTTCCATTTATTTGTTTTAACTCTTGTTATGGTCTCCAAGGATGAGGTTTAGGAGGCACTTGATGTTTCATTTTGGGAAAATCTTCAGAATTGTCCACACGTGGAGGATGGGAAGTGGATTTTGCATTACGAAGAGCATTTCTTTTCTGAAAAGTCTTAGATGTTTCTGCAGCTATGTGGCCAGTACCACCATGCTTAACATGCTCCAGTGGAGGTTCATACTTTCCAACAGACAGGAAATGCTTCTCAAGAGTCAAGATATAGTTAATTGCGTCCTGTACATTACAAGATGATCCACTCACAATGATGCTAGAATTAGTACGGGTTACTTTTGAAGGTACACGGATATCTACTTGGAATTGTTCCATAATTTTATGAATGGATTTTCCACCAAATCCAATAATATTGGCACAAACATGATGGTTCAGTGGGATTTCCTTAGAAACTGTTTTTTCAATTTTACGCAGCATTTTCATTATTGCATCTCGAGCTCCTAGGATGTTGTCTTTAGAACCTGAAATGGTAATTTGATCTTGTATTGGATTGCTTCCTTTCTTTGGATGATGAACAGTAACATCATATTCTGTGCAAATCTGGGAAATAAGCATACCTTTATTACCAAAGATCTTGGAATGATATTTGGGATCTAAACTGAATGTTTGTCTAAAATTTCGTAATGTCTGGTCATCTATTTCCATTTGTAAAGCTTTTACTTGTTTTTGCAACTTCATCTTGGCTTGCTCTACATTTGCTTCCATGCCTGTAATGGATATGATATGAAAATTTCCTCCGGGTTGTACTACCTGAGTATGAACTTCAAATTCCTTTATTAGCTTGCGTAAACCACTTCCTTTGTGCCCAATTATGTATGGATGTAGGTGAAAAGGTACTTGGACTTCAGCAGTGACAGGAACAAGAGATTCCAGAGCTTGGGTGGCTGTCTTGCAGTTTTCAGCTTTTCCTGAAATAGTGTCACCTTTTTTTTTGAGAAGTTGAAGCAGGCCCTTTAGTGTTCTTTTCCCCCTTTTCTTTTCCAGTATCTTGAAGCTCTAGACATGTATTTGTAGTTGGTTTTTCTGCATCTGGAATCTTGATTTGAACTTTAAAATCTCTTGTAATTTGTTGCATTCTAGAGCATATAGGTCCCATGATAAAAGGATGGAATTTGGGGGGAACAACACACCGTGTTGTGACTTGGGAACTCAAAGGCTTAAATATCTCTTGAATATGTTTCTTCGCTGCTTCAACACAAGCCTTTGCTCCTTTTATTGTGACTTTTGTACTCTCCTTTCCTGCATATGAAAAGTTAATAAAAACTCCACCATTTTCCTTAATTATTTTTTGTAAAAGCTGTCCCCTTTGCATGACAAAGTAATTGTGGAATTTGGGATTTATTAGTATGCTATCTTCTACCACATTCTCCAGATCTTTCAGTAAAACCTCTACCTCTCTTTGCACATCTTTAACAGCCTCTTCTGTCCCTATGATTGTTACTGATTCTTGATTCTTGTTCTTAAAGGTAGGGAAAATTATACGTGTCCCTGTCTTCTCACAGATTTTATGAAGATTGCCACCATTTTCACTCATAAGAAATTGATGATACTTTGACTTTACAGGGACAGCCACAGAATAACTCTTGGTTTGTTCTTCTGCAAGTTGCAGAAATTTTTTCTTAGCCTTTTCAACATTTTCTGCAGGGCCTCTAATAATGACTTTTTGAAGGCCCAATTTGGTACTTGGAAAATGAATATGGACTTTACCACATTCTTCCATGATTGAACTAATCAAAGACTCTTTAGAATCAGTAAGGGATTTGTGTAGACTAGGAGGAATTGAAATTTCAACTTCAGAAACTTTGGCTGCATTTTTATGCATAGAGAGAATCCAGTTTCGAGTTATTTCACGGTTTTCTGGCTTTCTGAAAGTGATGTTATTCTCTGAGTTGCAACTTGATGATGGAAAGTTAACCCTCCCCCTTAAATTTAGGTTGACAGCACGGTTTTCCCTTTGGAAAGACCTGTTTGGATATACAATGTATTGTCTTTTAGAAGTCATTGTTGATTTTCAAGTACTTGCAATTCAGATGTGTTGCAGATCATTCAGCAGCAGCTCCAAGACATAAAACCTTCTTGTAGTTATGTTTTATCATATTACTGTATGAAAAGAATAAATATTTAAAGTCACAATTTATTTCAAAATTAATCAATAGGATAAAGACAATAAAATGATTATTTTATTCATTCATTTAATGAGTATATTAGAATTTCACCTATTTATCTGTCCTTATATGAACACAAGGTAAACTCAGATTTTTAGGACTGTATGGAAACATTCACAATATTTTCAAAAAATGTTCCTCATTTAAGAATTCTTATGACATTCATAAAGAAATCTCATTGTTTCAAACAGACTCGTTTTTTCACTTGTATAAGCTTTTATTTACAAAGTATTATTGCAAAAATACAGTTATCGAAGTCTCTAAAAATACTGCATTTACTAATGTTTTTTTTATTTTCAGTAACAATTTTTAAAATTTATAACTTAAAATTGAAAATAACTGTCTGGATCTTCATATAAATAAATTGTGGGCCTATATTTCATATAAAATAATTTACAGGCAGGCTCACTGGCCACTAGGCAGATGCAACCCTGCCAAACAAGTAAGACAAAGGCCAGGATGTATTGCTTCTTTCTCCTTTGTTAAAAATGTAGATTGCCTGGGGAGAGTTGTTTGCCAAAGCTGGTGACTAAGTTGCAGGTGTTTCCCTAGTGCCATACCCTCCTTCCCCCAGAAAGAGAATATTAATGAGCTTCCACCTTGGTTTACCTGGGGGATAAAAGGTGTTTTGTATAATAAACGCAGGTAGATCTTCAGGATTGATGAAGCCTGAGATGCCCTTTCCTGATGACTGTGTGAACTGTGTCTGGTTATTTCTTGCACCTCCTTACCGGTCAAATTAGGAAAAAGTAGCTTCTATGTTGGGGCCTACTGCCCCTGACAATAAAACATGGAAAAATTATGGGGGCTAATTGGGAAACAGGATATTGGAAAAATAGGAGGAGATAAGAGTGAAGAGTGTAACAAGGAAAAATATAATAAAATAACATTTATATTTATGAATAATTGCAATGAAACCAATTATGTATAAATAATATGTAATTAAAATGAAAGTAGAAAAATTAACACCTTCCATGTTTTCAATTTATGGGATTTTAACAAATTTAGAGTTAATAAGAAATGTCTTAATTCATCTGCAGAAGGTTTCCATCACCTACATGAGTTTCCCATGCTCATATACAGGAAAATTCCATTTCTCCCACCATATACAACTAAATTATAAATATATCTTGCCTACTCTGGTAGTTTCATAATAGTAAAATTTTATGGTCTGCACAGTGGATAAGCCTCAATTACTGTTTAAGTCCTGTTTTAAATCTTCATTTTTTGAGATACAATGCTTTATTCCTCTTTTAATTCTGAAAAATACCTCATTCTAATGGAATTCTACATATTAAGTTATTAATACTTGCTTCTTTGAACTCTTTCCTTCCATAGTATTCTTTTCCTATATAATGTTATTTAGACTCATAACTCAGAATATGACTGAAATAACCACTAATCACTCCTAAATGTTCAATGCTATCTCTTAGCTTCCACAAGTGACCAGAGTATCATCAAATGAATACCTCAGGATTCTTTGAAACTTATTCTGTATTTTCAATTATTAATATCCGAATTTTATTGTTTTTAACTGTATTTGATTTTATTTGTTTGCTTTTTCAAGACAGGCTTTCTCTCTGTAATAGCTTTGGATACTCTTGAACTCACTAGGCTCGTCTCAAACTCACAGAGACCCATATGCTTCTGGGATATGATCCCAGAAGTGCTGAAATTAATGGCATGTACTATCACAGTCCAGTTTGAACTGTATTTGAATTTTATAAATGCAAAATTATTTTTCTAAAGCTGGCCAAATACTTATTACCATTTTTTTTTAAATTTCATTCATTCATTTCCATCACAGTAATAACAAGTACTGACCAAAATGTACCTTATCTCTCAACTTTCTTCTAATTCACTATGCTGTTGTTAAACTAGTTCATCTCTTGCTTGGTCTTTGTCTCATGTATTTGACTTTTATAGTCCAAACAGATATATACTACTCTATTAGCTTTCTTTTTCCATTTGACATCTCCTTTTTTTTTTAACTTTTAAGGTAGCATCTATACTTTCTTTTTCATAGAAACATGTTTTTATATGTATGTATCTAAAGAAATGTCTTAATTATTGTTATTATGTAGCTATTTTAGCTGAAACAAATTTTAAAATACTATTATTAAATGACTCATATAATTTTATCACTTATTAAACATAACTTATAGTTTATGTACTTACACTTACTATCTTAAGTATTATGAGTAACAAAATTTAAAAAAGCATACTACTGATCACTTACGAAAGTGCTGCTACATCAACTATATCAGAAATGGACATAGGTATAAATTACTATACCTATAGATAATTTCATACATGACCAGTGTATTTACCCCATTCCCCCACTTCCCCCTTATCTTATAGGTGCCAGATTGCTAGATAAAAACCACAAGTAACAGCTCATGCCAGCAATGATGTAGAAAAGAGAGAATATTCTTTTATTGCTGGTAGGAGTAAAAACTTGTACAACCACTTTGGAACTCAAAATAGGAGAATAATCTCAGCTGAAAGGCCCAGAAAATTATTTTAAGAAACTTTTTTGGAAAAAAAAATCTCACTTAAAGGACAGGCTTTTAAAGGTAATAAAAACTTGCAGAACAAAAAAGAGAATGGACAAGAAAAGAAAGTCCCCTCACCATATAATAATCAAAACATACAGAACAAAGAAAATATTAAAAGCTGCAAAGGAAAATGCCAAGTAATATATAAAGGAAGACATATTAGAAGTATATAACCAACATTTCAATGGATATTTTAAACACCTGAAGAAGGTGGACAGTTGTTCTAAAGAGTCTAAGAGAACATAGATGCCAGTCCATTGTCCTATACCCAACAAAACTTAGTTACTATAGAAGTAGAAAACATGATAGTCCATAAAAAATTAAGTTTAGAACAATATACATGAATTTATTCCTACAGAGGGTACTAAAATTAAAACTCAAACCAAGGAGGTTAACTACATCCACAAAAAAATACAGACAATAAATCATCTCATACCAATAAAACCCTAAAAAGGGAAACACACACACACACACTTCCACCATCACCACCAACAGCATAGTAACAGGAAGCAGCAATAATTGGCCATTAATGTCTCTCATTATCAATAGACTCAATTCCCCAATAAAAATACACAAATAAACACACTGGGTGTGAAAACAGGATCCATCCTTCTGCTCTATATGAATAATACAAATCAACATCAAAGATAAATATTACTTCAGAGGAAAAGTTTGAGAAAAGATTTTCCAAGGAAATGGACCTAAAAAAAAAAGCAGGAGTGTCCATTATCATACCAAACAAAATAGATATCAAATCAAAGGTAATCAAAAGAGATGGAGGATAGTTCATGCTCATCAAAGGAAAAATCAAACAAGATAATTTTTCAATTCTTAGCATCTATGCTCAAAATGCAGTCACCCATGTTTTTAAAGGAAACACAGCTGAAACTTAAATCACACTTGACTCTCACACATTGATAGTTAAAGACTTCAACATCCCACTTTAACCAAAGAACAGATCATCTAGACAAAAACACAACTGAGATATACTGGAGCTAACAGATATTTTGAAACAAATGGACATAACAGACACCTACAGAACATTTTACTCAAAAACAAAAGAATATACTTTCTTCTCGGCACCTCATGAAGTAGTGTCCAACTGTGACCACATACTCAGTGACAAAGCAAATCTCAACTGAAATAAGAAATTTGAAAAAAAAACTGCATCCTATCAGACCAGCATGGATTACTACAAACTAATGAAACCTGAACAACTCTGTTCTGAATGACTACTCTGCAAAGGCAGAAATAAATAAAGAAATTAAAGACTTCCTAGAATTTAATTCACATTAATGCACATTTTCAAACTTATGGGACAAAACTGAAAGCAATGCCAAGAGGAAAGTATTTATAGCACTAAGAGTTAGCATAAAGAAATTGGAGAGATCTCATACTAGCAGGTTAACAGCACACCTGAAAGCTCTAGACAAAAAAGAAGCAAACATAGCTAAGAGTATTAGATCGCAGGGAGTAATCAAAGTGTGGTTTGGAATAAAAAAATAGACAAAGAGAACAATACAAAGAATCAATGAAACAAAGAGATGGATTCTTAAGAAAATAAACAAGATAGGCAACCCTTATCCAAACTAAATAAAAGACATATAGATAAAATTGAAATTAACAAATTCAGAAAAGAAAAAGGACACATAGAAACAGACACCAAAGAAATACATAGAATCATTAGGTCATAATTCAAAAATCTGTACTCCACAATGTTGTTCCTTTTGGAGAAGAAAAGTTAGCACATGTGCAGAAGGATCACTGGACTACAATTCCCAGAAGTGGCAGAGGATACAGCATCCCACTGAACTACAATTCCCACGACAAAAAACCATGCATGTGCAGGACATTTTTTCCCAGACGCACCTAGATCCCCCTTTAAAAACGGGGAACGTCATAACTCGCCCCTTTTCGTCTCTTCACCCCTGTCCCTCACCTGTCGTCACCCCTCCATTAAAGTTTACCCACGTGGGACAGCCGTGTGCCTCAAGTTTCCTTTCCAACCCCACAGAAAAAAAGAATAATAGTTGGTGCTGTGTGCTTGCGATGTCCCGGTATTTTCACCTGAGGCCGTGGCTCCCATTTTTGGCAAGGTCAGGATTGACAACCTGCGACCGCCCCCACGTGCTCCACTTATCTGAACATGGCCCTCTGCGACCAACAGCGGCTAATTTGTGAGTTCACCTGGGTTGGCTTACCGTCCCCTCTCACCCGGAGATTGTCTGGTTGAGCTCCCAGCTTTCTCTGGCGTGTCCTGGGTATGGGTGCTAACACCC